TGATAATGATAATAATAATAATAATAATAATAATAATAATAATAATAATAATAATTCTGCTAATAATAAGGAAAAAGGTAACGATAATAATAACTATTTCTTTAATAATAACGATAATAAGGATCATAAGGATAAATATGATAATCATAATAACGATGACAATAATAACAACAATAATATTAATAATGATAATGAATAATATTATTATTCATAAATAAGAGCAATAATATTAATAATAAAAACATTAATAATAATAATCATAATAATGGCAATATTAGTAATAATACTATAATATAATGATAATATGATAATAATAAAAATAGTAATAGTAATTATTATAATAATAATAATAATAATAATAATAATAATAATAATAATAATAATAATAATAATAATAATAAAATAATAATAATAATAATAATAATAATACATAACAACAACAACAACAACAATAATAATAATAATAATAATGATAATAATAATAATAATAAAAATAATAATAATAGTAATAATAACAATAATAATAATAATAATAATAATAGTAATAAGAACAGAAGTAATAGAATTATTATTAATATAGATACTAATGATATTAATTTAAAAATAATAATGATATTGATAATAATGATAATAACAATAACAAGAATACTAACAGTGATATTAATAAAAGTTATAATAATACAGATGATAATGATAATGATAATAATTATAATAATGAAAATGAAAGTTATTACGATAATTGTGATAATATTAATTATAATAATATTAACGACAAAAAACAACGGTAATGATAATGATTGATATTGATGACAATAATGATAATAGTATGTATAACAGTAGTTGTAACTTTAATGCTAATAATGATGATAATGATTATATATTAATAATTACAATTATAATTATGATAATAGTAATAATAATGATAATAATAAAAAAATAAAATAAAATGATAATAATAATGATAATAATAATGATAATAATAATAATAATAATAATAATAATAATAATAATAATAATAATAATAATAATAATAATATCAGTAGTAGAAATGATAATAATAATAATAATAATAATAATAATAATAATAATAATAATAATAATAATAATAATAATAATAATAGTAGTAGTAATGATAATAATAATAATATTAATAATAATAATAATAATAATAATAATAGTAATGATAATAATAATAATAATAATAATAATAATAATAATAATAATAATAATAATAGTAATAATAATTATAATAATAACAACAGTAATGATAATAATAATAATAATGATAATAATAATAATAATAATAATAATAATAATAATAATAATAACAATGATAATCATAATAACAATGATAATAATGATAATAACAGTAATAATCATAATAATAATAATAATATTTATAGTAATGACAATCATAATGACAATAATAATGAAAATAATAATAATAATCACAAAAATGATAATAATATAACAATAATAATGACAATAATAATAATGGTAGAAATAATGATAATGATAATAATGATAATAATATTGATCATAAGAATAATAAAAGTTATAAATAATGATAAAACACATAGATTAAAATAATAGCAATAGCAATACTACTAAGTAGAAGCATAACGACATCAGTTACATTAATAACAAGTGGAATGACAGTGATCGCTTCAATTAATTCTACGGCCTTTATCGCCCTATTTCAATTATCCAAACCCCCATTAGTATTCAATTTAAACTTTAACTGATTGACAATGACCCAGAATCCCTAGAATATATTATGCAGTTTTCAGAGCACGGGGCGTTTTTCAGTTCATCAGTCGACCGATGTTATCAGGAAACCAATGTCAATACAAAAAAAAAAGAAAGAAAATAAAAATATGTAACCCACAATTCATTTTTAAAGTGATTGGCTCTGTAGTTCTTTGTTTGTTTTCTGTTTTTCGTGTTCTATTGTGCTTTGTGGTGTTCCTTTCATTTAATGAAGGGGATATGAGAGTGTAGATACGCGATTGAATAAAGCTACCGAACACAAAAACAAGAACAAGAACAGAATCAAAATTAATCTCATACGTAGATTTAGGGTTCGCTCTTCAAGTTATAATTATTTTTACGATTCTCCAATATTCTCATTCATGCTTTCGTGCTTCTTCCCCTCTCCCCTTTCCGCCCCATTTTTCTCTTCTTGTTTCCTCTCCTCCCTTCCCCTTTTCCTCCCTCCTTTTCCCTCACTCCTTTTCATATCCCTCCCTCTCTCTCTCCTAACTTCTAAACTACTCTCTTGTTTCCCTTGACGGGTTTCCTTGATACTTCTCTCTCTCTCTCTCTTTCTCTCTCTCTCTCTCTCTCTCTCTCTCTCTCTCTCTCTCTCTCTCTCTCTCTCTCTCTCTCTCTCTTCTCCTACACTCGTCTCCTGTTATTCTTCTTCTTGCGCTCTTCTCTCTTCTCTTTCGTCTTCTCTCTCTCTTCTCTCTCTCTCTCCCCCGCTCTCTCTCTCTTCTTC